TTTGAAGCATGTTTGCTTATTGTAAGGGGATGGGAATATATTTTTTCCTACTCGATCACTCTGCATATATGTAAATATATATGTATGTATTACTAATGCAGAGCCTTAAATATTAAAGGTGGATTTCCACTTTTTAATAGTTTCTTTCCAATAATGTAGAAATTTAACAGAATAATAATTTTTTTTATTTTGTTGTCACATTTTTACTTTTTAATTATTTTAGTTAAAATTATGTTACAAATCTATGACATGGGAGGAATTAGTTTAATGTAGTGTAATGAAGATTTTTTAAACACAGTTTTTGTAACTCTCTCATTTTTCTTGGTATGTTGCCAAAGAGAAAAAGGAAGTTAATGCTTTCTTAGGTTTGAAGGTTTTATTCACAATCATTCTTGTCTATTTCTGACCCAACAAATATTTTCTTTGGGCATTGAAAGTGGAAAAGAGAATCTGTTTAGACAGAGACATTTTAAAAACTGTGCTTAATTATACAACCCTTTTATGAACATTTTTGAATTTTTAATTCTTATGTAAAAGCTGTTACTTAGCCTTGATTTGGTATTTTTAGACATTCATCAAATTGTCATTTCATTATTTTAAAATCAGTCCTCTTCAGGAAATAGATGACTAATATTAATGTCATCACTATCAGGAAATAGCTCAGCATCTGTGTGATATTTTTTTAGATGTATTGAAATTCTTTTTACAGGTTTGGTTTTTATAGCACATCTTAGCTAGTTACTGTGTTATGGAGGAAAAGATTCTCATTATTTTGGCATAATGGAGCTAGCTACATGATTCTAGAGAAATAAGTGTTGAGTGGGAAGACTTGGCTAGCTAGAAGTAAAACATGGATTCTAAGGAACTAAGTTACCTTCTGAAAGTTTGATTTGTGTTGGTAGAAGGAGAGTAGGATATAAATGATGAAGCAAAGGCAGGAAACGTTCTTTTTTTCCCTTATCAATCTTGATATAATAGAATATTTAAAATGCTTTCTCACCCTTAAATATCTTCATGCTTGGAAATAACAGAACTTGTGTCTAAAGGTATGCTTTAGGATATTTGGACTTTGTTTTTATTTTTGTTTTTATTTTTTTTCAGGCGTTGGATTAAAAGTAATTTAGTACTCTGAGATTTACCATTTTAGGTTTTTGTCATGCAAATTTCTGTAGGAATACAAGCTACTGATAACATGATAAAAAGATGCATGTATTTTATTGACTATTGATTGATACGTGTATGGCTTTTGGTGCTACAAAAATATATGTATTAATACCCATGGCCTTTCTTCCCATTACAATTTACAGTGTAGATAATTTGTTAGGATTTTGTATTATTCCTGGAGGACATTAGTGACTAAAATCTTATCAGATTGTTACATGTACAAATTCAATACTCAGGGGCACCTGGGTGGCTCAGTCGGTTAAGCGTCTGCCTTCGGCTCAGGTCATGAGCCCAGGATCCTGGAATTGAGTCCCGCATCAGGGTCCCTGCTCAGCAGGGAGCCTGCTTCTCCCTCTGCCTGCTGCTCCCCCAGCTTGCGTGCGCTCTCTCTCTCTGTCAAATAAATAAATATCTATTTTAAAAAAAGAAATTGAACATTCAAACCTAGCTCTTTTTGATGAAATAAGTAGTTATTTTTATCTTTAAGTAAAATTTTCACTTCATTTCACTGATGTGCATTCCGATCTTAAATGCCATAATTTTTTAAAGCAATAGATTACTTCTGCCTTGAATGTGATCGTAGAGTCCTACCTAATGAAGATTGGAGGGAAAGATTAAAACATTACAAAGTTTCCTTTTATTTAGGTCAAAAACCAAACTAGGGGTTTTGCTTATTCATTTTAGGAACATTTTTCAATCTCTTACTGAATAAGAACATTATACTTACTTATTCTTATTAAAAGTTTGCTAAGGAATGGCAACATTTCATTTTTCTCCTGTATTGCCAATGAGATGGACATAGGGAACAAAAACAAGTTTTCAAGTCCCTTTTAATCTGGTTTATCTGTTTATCTTCTTTTTGTTTCTATTCATTTACTCATGCATTACATCTGATATTTATCTAACTTGACTATCTTTTAGGTACCAGAGACCACTTCATCAGTGTTGCTTCTTTCTTAGCTGTTCTTATTTTTTCTTTACATAATGGCTTCCGCCTTTGAGTCCTAGGTGTAGTTATAGATAATACCATGTACTGAACGTTAATCCACCGCTGTCAAAATTACTTGTCCTGACCAAAGAAGACTGAAAATTATTTGAATAATTATTTTCTCAGTGCTCTCAAGAATATATAATTACTAGTATTCTAGGAGAAATGTTATTTACATACTAAGAATGCCTTAGGTCGTGGTTCTCAAAATGTACTCCTGGACTTTCACCCCTTCAGAGGTCCAAAAGGTCAGAAATTATTTTCTCAACAGTTTTAAGACAGTATTTGCCTTTTATGTTCCCATTCTTTAACAAGTGTGCAGTGGAGTTTTCCAGAGGCTACATGGTGTATAATATTAAAATAGCTTGAATACAGAAACAGAGATGAGGATTTATTCTCTTCTATTCAACACAACATTAAAGATATTTGCAAAGAGGTACAACAATGCTATTCTTGCTAATTTTTTGTTGTTTTGGAAAAGACACATTTTATAAAATACATTATTTATGCTAACATGTAATGAATTATTCTGTTTGTAGTTAATAAATGGAGCAGTCCTCACTTTGCACAGTTCCAATATGTACTATTTCAGTTACTACAATTCAGTTAATACCAGGCCTCTAATAACACAGTTCAAGTTTGACTACCAGGATATATTAACTGTGAGTAATTGCATAAAATAAAATTTTGTTGCTGGCACCTTAGTCTACAAATCACTGTGTTAATAACAAATGCACATCATGATCAGTGACCAGTCACATCACTTCTTTCTAAGTCTGCCGAGCATTGGTCACTGTTCATGTGTTATTAGTCCATGCACAGAAATCAAAACCTGTAGTTGTGTTGCTTCCTTGTGTCTTGGTGATAAACCCACATGATGTTTTACAAAAATGGATAATTGAAAGTGAACTGACCAACAAAGATGAAAATGTGGTGAAGAAACGGAAAGTGCTGACATTGGAAGTGAAATTTGAATTGAACTCAAGTGGAATTATAGAAGAAATAGTTAATCACAAGGGCTCCTCGATGGCACAGTTAAACGTCTTACTCTTGGTTTTGGCTCAGGTTGTGATTTCAGGGTCCTGAGATCGAGCCCCACAGTCTGCTTGAGATTCTCTCTCCCTCTCCCTCTGCCCCTCCCGCTGGTGCTCTCTTTCTCTAATATAAATAAATAAATTAAAAAAAAAAAAAGAGTTAATCATGGGAATACTGACACTGCTGCTATTCAAGGGAATTTAGGAACTTAGTAAAGGTGAATGTATTGATATAAATGAGCAGAGTGGTTATGACAAAAAGGAGGTCCCAGCAGAAGTGGTGCTGGCAAGCCACTTCACATTATGGGGCCTCTCTGAGATTTTCACAATTGAAAGTGCAAAGGATAAAATGTTGGAAACTGGTCCACACTTAGAAAGGAATGATTTGCCAAGGCATAGAAAATATGCTCGGTCCATATTTTTAAGTTATACAGTAAGAACGCAAGCACTGTTCAAACTACTGTTGGTAAATTTTTTTTTACAAAGAAAACCCTTAAATTCTCAGTATTTCTAATGTTTTAAATTGTAGTATACTATGTAAGTGTTTTACTGTTTTTTTTTTCATTCCCCTACACATTATAACTGGCGACGAAAAGAGTTTTTTAGTGTAGAGTTTTTAGATGTAATCATATACCCAAATCTCTTTATATTACCCTTTATACTTATCTCCTCTATTTTCTGTCCGGATTGAATAGTATAACCAACAAGCCTAAAACTTAAGAAATAGTTTGTACTCCTTTATCTCCCTCATAGTTTACATTTCTAATTACTTAACAGCTCTCATAGTTTTCCCCATTGCTTCCTTCCTCACTGATTGTCTTTACTTAGGCACTTATTTGTCACCCTTTATAGGGTATGACTATAAAGGGATGGCATGAGGCAATTGCTTGAGATGACAGAACTGTCCTGTATCCCAACTTTGATGCTGGTGACTGAATGTTGTTACATGTTAACAATCATAAACTTTTTTTTGTCTTGCTATGGTATGGTATTGGCATGTAAATGTTTCTTTGCTATTCTTTCAAAATAGGGCTTACAAATAAATCAACAAGTACTTACTGACAACAGTGTTCAAGGCATTGTCCTCTGTGCTGAAGCTGAGGAAGATATAAATGTGCAGAAGATACGTTTCTGCACATTTATATGTATGTCCCTGAAGGAATTTATATTCTAGTGAGATAGATACTACAGATAACAGCAGTAAGATAAACTGTAATTGTCTCTTAAAGGTTCATACAAACAAAATGCTTGTGCTAGGAATGTGGAGAAAGATAATTCTTCATTGAAGAGGTGGCATTTGAGCTGTCTTGGAAAACACGTTGATTATGACAGTCAAAAACAGACAAAGGACATTCTGATAAGGAAAAATATAGCACACTTTACAGATGTGTAATTTTTCCTTTTTATAAAGCTCATAAAAACTTTGGATCTACACTTCATGCATACTTGCATCCTGTTTCATTCAATTTTGTGCTCAAACTCTTAAAAGCATTTGCGTTTGACACTTAAATTTCTTATAAGCAGTAGGGTAGCTTTTAAGTTTTTGGATTTAGTAATTTAGGTCATTTTTAAATTCTGATTTTAATGTCTGTGAAGACAGTGAGCTACTCCTAAGTCTTATTGTGTTCAATAGATAGTAAATATATAACTAAAAGCCTGATATTTATGTAAAATTTTCTATTCACAGAGAAAATTTTAATAAGTAGAGTTTTCAGTATATATAATACTTATAAAGTATTTTTATAATACTTCCCCAGATGGCTTTCTTTCCGTTTTTCCTACTTAGGTGAATGAATTCACTCTTTTTTTCACAGGTTTTCTGTGAAGACCCTCATTGATCGGTCCTGCTTTGAGACAATTGATGATTCTTCTCCTGAATTTAACAATTTTGCAGCTATTTTGGAACAGATTCTAAGTCACCGGCTAAAAGGTAACACAATTAATGTATTTTTAGTCTCACAACAACTTTCTTTTTTATAAGCTTGAAATTTTAGAATCCATACAGTCTGGTATAATTTAGATAATAGCCATATTTCATCTTGAGAAACATAAAACTGATTTTGGAATGCCTAATCTTTTGACCTATCCTTTGTCCCTGGAAATGAATTTCTGTTCTCCAATTTATGCCTGTTTCCAGGGTGCATTAAAAATGCTGAGTGCATTAAGTGTCATATACAGGGAGCAGAGTCACTTTCCGTAAGTAATTAAAATGAAAGTTTAAATTAAAAAGTAGCCCATCTTAGAAGGTTACTGGATGGTATTTTAACCAACTTACAAAGAAGCATCCAGGCATTAAGTTTGTTTGCTTAATCTCTACTTCATTAAACTTTGGAATCTTTGAAAAATTTTTCACCATAGTTAAAAGAAGTATGTAAAAAAATATGCTCAACTGTGGTTTTAAAATAAATCAGTAAATATATTTACATTAGAAAGATAAATCTCTTAAAATTTAGAAGGTAAGATGGGAGCCGTGGTCTCTCAGAATTATAAAATATGTTTACTAAAAATACCTGTAAAATATAGATGATAACACCAAGAAATATTATGTAGCATAATTCTTAGTAATAATAAATAATAACTTTATTACATTAATTCCATTATCTTGTCTTCCTAAAGGAAACCTGATCATCAGATGTTTTCACTTAACTTTTTATTATCTTTATTACCTTATTGGTATAGTTTAAAATCAGTAATCTGCTTTGGTAATATAACTTATTAGAATCTCAAATTTAAGCTAAAGGATAATTCTTTTTTATGTTTTTTGATGCTGAAAGCCTCAGGTTTTACTCCTAAGTTTTTAAATCCGTTGAGCAGTCCTATGGGCCTATAACAAAGGGTTGAATTTAATTACATGGGAAAACAAAATCTGGATTCAGTCAGCCCTTTGCAATTTAAAATGAGGTCCATAAAATCACTGATGCTTTTCTGTTAAAAGTTTGTTATTTTGCATTTAAAAAGTTATGTTTCTTATTTTTGCTGCTCTGTATTTCCTAAATTTTCTGCCATTAATGTTACCTTTTATGTGAAAATAAGTTTTTATAAAAGCAAAGGATAGGAGAGTATTTTGAGATATTGTCTGGGTTACTATATTGTGTGGTGATAATATTTAAAAATTTTACATATAAATTTATAAATAATACATGACTAAAAAACACATGCAACACAGTAGACCTTGGTGTACCTTAATGTTCACAAATATTTTATCATAAGACTTCAATTCCCTTAATTCAGTATACCATTTAGCATATGATTCACTCACAAAATACATAAGCAGTTATCAGCAGAAAACAGGCCATGTTGAGATATCCATGCTGAGTGATTGGGCAGACTCATGACCACATACATGGACCCCTCCTGCACACTAACCTGCCATCTTCTGAGTCCTGCCTCAGCAAAATCTAGATGATAGACCTTTAGAATTACTTAACAGTGAGTGTCATTTCTGAGAAGCCAGTGAACTACCATGTGGAAAATAGAATCCCTAGTTGATTTATGGATAAGAATTCCACTAGTATGATTAAGACAGTAAGAATGATGATACAGTGGAATTTGTGTTAATTTTTGAAGCTAAGTAAAATTAGTAATTTAAAATATGCTTTTAAAAAAAGTTTCTGTAGATTGACTAATGTGGTCACTGTGGTTAGTGGTCGCTGTGGTTAGTATAGATATGAATCATGAATTGATCTTTAACTTTTGAGATGAAGTATTTTAAAGACTCAGGTGTCTACAGACTTCCATATATTATTTTAGTATTCTAGCATATAACAAATTGCTTTTATTTTTGGAGAAATTATATGATTATTTTGATAGTACACCTAAAATTTAGTATATAACAACTAATTTTTCCAATGTTTGTCTTTATAGAAGTACAGATTTAAAATATATAACTTTGTGGGTTTGTGAGATACACTTTTCTCCAGCTACTTTTTATTTTTTAAATAAAAGGGCATTTAGTTTAAATATTAAATTTTTCAGAGAAAGATAAAATCCACCCCCAGGCACAAAATAGGCTCTGTTGACACAGGTAATGTGGAAAACTTGAAACAGTTATTTCTTTATTCATTTTAAAAGTCCCATAATTGAAGAAAAGGAAGCTTTTAAAATGACATGCATTAATCCTGTTTGCAGTTATTATGCAATAAAATGATCTTACTTTCCTGGAATATAGCTGAGAACTAGGAACTAATCAGAAAATATAGAATTCAAAGAGACCTCAGTTTAGATCTTCACTAATTTTTGGACTTTTATTTTTTTTAAAGTATCATCCTTCTCTCCACCCCATCTGCACCTGCGCTAATAAAAGCAAGTATAGATGCTGGGTGTGTAAGTGGAATGTCTTGTTGAAGCGGATTGGGGAAATGGGGCATTTTACCTGCTCAGCAGCAGTTGTACCCCACCCTACAACTCCATAGCACCACTTCAGGTAGCGCCATGAATCACACATTAAAAATTATTCTAGGCTCTCTCCTGAAGGAATCCACGCAACGATATTTGTGATTGGTGGACGTACTGTCTTTGTTTTAATACTTCTGATGTATGGAAACTTAGGATAGTAAAGCAATTCATCACATTTTGGGGCAGTTTAGATTCTTAGAAAAATCTTATATAAATAAAGCCAACCTATCTGACTAGCTTTGATCTCTTTTCTGCCACTTTTTTCAGTATTGAGCCTAATAAATATGAAAAGATTGCTATTATATAGCCCTTTCTCCTCAGTCCCCCTTTTTTCTAGGTAATGTATCTCTACTTCCTTCAACATTCTGGAACCACCACTATCTTATTCTTTTGGTTTATCACTGGTTTATTAGTATTGCTCTTAAAATCTGATACTCAGAGCTGAGTAAAGTGCTTCAGAGAGGTGAACTCTGTATTAGTTCAGAACTTAAGATTACACTGACATTTTGATTCCCATATCACACTTTTGGTTTACATTGAAATTAAGACCATCAAATCCTGTAGTTTTTTAAAAATGGAACTATTCCTTATTTTATGTTTTAATTAGTTCTCTAATGAGTTGCCTGTGTACAAGTTTGCTAGGGATAAATACAGTATTATTTCCTTTGTCATCCACTTTAGAGATGGATGAACTGGCTAAAAAAAGAAATTTAGGAGAACTTCTAAAGATGAAGGGGACATACTTTTTCCTATTTCTCTCACTAAGTATATCTAAAACCCTGGACATTAGTATATAAAACAAATAAAAGAAGACTCCAAAAGGTTAGAAGGAAGAAGGGAGACTTTCTAGGGACTGTAAGACTTCGGGAATGACTTGATGGGTTCTTTGAATTTTCTGATTGCCTTGTATAGCCAAGACTGGGTAAGCCAATAGATTATAAACATCAGGTACAGAAAGCAAGGCAAAAGACTTTTATTTTTAATTTTTTTAAAGATTTATTTATTTTAAAGAGAGAGAGCATGAGCAGGAGGTGCAGAGGGAGAGAGAATCTCAAGCAGACTCCACACTGAGCGCAGACCCCGACGCAGGGCTCAATCTCATGGCCCCGAGATCATGACCTGTGCTGAAACCAAGAGTCAGATGCTTAATCAAGTCACCCAGGTGGCCCAGGGAGGAAGACTTTTAGACATTCCCTCCTCTACTTCAGCCAAATGCCGCAGAAAAAGTGTGGTACCACCCCCACCTAGGCCAGAAAAAGCTAAATGGGGAACTTAGAATTCCCTCCTCATGAGATATAACAAAGTGTCCCACCACCACCATCAGAATGGTATCAGAGAGGGTCAAGCAGAGAACTGGGACTTCTTCCCTCCTGGCTGATGGTGAGCCTTCTCTTCCCATTTTACCTCCCACTCCCACCATGTTAATGAAGAACCTGGACTTCCATTCCCACCCAGCAGTAATGAGGGGTCATTTCCCTGCCATCCTGAGGCTGTGTCAGAAGAGACCTGTTGGAGACTTGTGTCTTTCACCATCACCCAGCAGTAACAAGGCTACTCCCAGTGCATTGTCAATGGAGACCATGTAGAAAGCCTGGACTCCCACCTCCACCCAGCTGTAGTGAGGGCTCCCCACAGTCAAATGTCAGTGGAGGCCAACTGGGAAAAGTGGACTTCTCCCTCCACTTGGCAGTAATGAAGTGGTGCCCCCTACACCTGCCCTTCCCCTGCTAGAACTGTCAGAGAAAGCCAGTGAAAACAAGTTTTAAATAAGGTCCTGAGACTTATAATATGAACATGTCCAGGTTTCATTTGAAGATCACTTGTCATACCAAGAACCAGGAAGATCTCAAATTGAATGATAAAAGACAATCAATAGATAGCAACACTGAGATGTCAGAGGTATTAAGTATTAGTGACAAAAATCATAAATTGGTCATGATAAAAATGCTTCAGTGAGCAGTTACAAACATGCTTAAAACAAACAAAAAAGTAGATAACATCACCAAAGAAATAGAAGATATAAAAAAGAACCAAATAGAAATTTTGTTACTGAGAAGTACAAAACCAAAATAAAAAACTCAATGGATAGTCTCAACAGGAATATGGAGGGGACAGAGGAAAGAATCCGTTGGGGCGCCTGGGTGGCTCAGTCATTAAGTGTCTGCCTTTGGCTCAGGTCATGATCCCAGGGTCCTGGGATTGAGCCCCACATCAGGCTCCCTGCTCAGCGGGAAGCCTGCTTCTCCCTCTCCCACTCCCCCTGCTTGTGTTCCCTCTCTCACTGTGTCTCTCTCTGTCAAACAAATAAAATCTAAAAAAAAAAAAAAAAAATCCGTGAACTAGAAGACAAAAACGTAGAAATTTTTTAGTCTAAACAACAAAGACTAAAAATAATCTAAAATTAAAAAGTGGACTTAAAAAAAAGTAGACCTCAGGGACCTGTGGGACTATAACAAAAGATTTAACTCTCTTTTCATCACAGTATCTCTGAGAGGGGAAAGAGGAAGGGACTGAAAATGTGCTAAAAATATATGG